AGTGTTTGTTGTCATCATGAACCAGACAGTACAGTGTGATAACATAAAGCAGTGCTGGTCTCCAAACATGATTCACAATTAGGCAGCCACAAGGTGTGCATGTTTTTGCTCCAGCACAGCTGACTCAACTAATCTACAATACTTTTGACTAGCTGAGGAGTCATCCCGTTGCAGAATAGATAGGTGTCCAATTTCACTGGTTTTATTTGGAAATAGACAATTATTTGTCCACTAGATGGCAATGACACTAAAGTTTGATGTAGAACTCGATCATCTGTTTTCATGTGATGTCAGAGTGCCTCCTTATTTTGAGGAATATGTTCAGATGTGTTCTGGATGCTCTTTAAAGTAATGTTTCATAGACTAAGTTAACAGACAAACATGGAGACCATAGATGAGTTGCGTGAGCAAATCAGTTTTATTTTTATTCATGTTTTTTTTTTTTTTTATAATTCAGAACAGCAAGAGTATTTATGGCAACAATAAAATGTGCATAAAACAAATCTGAAGACAGAGTAGTACATTATTCTGTAGCAACTATAAGCAAAAAATGTAAGTGATCACTTACGCATAATAAGCAGTTAAGCATGTGTGCCCCCAGCAGGTAAGAGAGACCTTGGTTTAATAAGCCGAGAGACAGTGAAATCTGTCCGAGCAGCACTGGTTGGTTTGGAGAAAGTGACGCTTTGGTTCGATAGCACTTATACAGCGACCTCGAGTCAGAAATAAGTTGACCTTGACTGAAGACGGTTACATTCATTTGAAATAGTATTTACCTATTCATTTAGTATGGTGGTGAGCCTTCACCTGCTGAGTGCACAGTTGTCTGGTAGCAGTAGCTGTATGTGTTCTGTGAGTCCATGTTGACTTGAGTAATATTACTGTGATGAGAGAATATTTATTGGGTGGTTTGGTGTTAACATTACATTTTATTCTTGAGATCTCATGGAGTTTCTAGGTAAAATGTTATTTCACAAGTGATAGATGACTTGCCTGCAGTCTCATTTCCCCAAATGTAGATGTTATTTTGTAAATTGAAAATATGAATTTTCCTTATCTATCTATATAGTTTGTTTACATTTGTGTTATTTTTTTTACATGCAGTCAAATCAAACTAAAATATAATATGGTTTCTAATATAATTGATTGTAGTTATTGTACCGTAGGGCCAGACATGAAGGGCCTGGTCCAACATTTGAAATATAGACAATATAGGCTATTTGTTTTATGTAAAATACTACAAGGGGAGTGGGAGTGAACGTGGGGGGCATGTTCCCCTTGAGAATTTCCTTGCAAACTACAAGCCACTGACAAAATAAGCCAAAAAACGCATAGCTTTTTCTGAATGCATTGGCCGAGAAACTGTTGCGATTTTATTTTATTTTTGCAAGCAAATTTGTTTAGCTGGTCTTTCAGTTTAGATGTTTTAAATTAACCTAACAAAATTCCTTATAATTATATAATTTTTTATTCAAAATAATATCTCAATATGATACATGTTTTTTCTCTGTTCATTGACTATATACAGAAGTGCAAAAAGTCAACCTTTGTCCCTTAGTTTAAAGATCGTTCATCTGCAGCATTACCGACCTTTCCGATTCAGCAAAGTCCACTACTTCACCTCTCATCTCACTATTCACCCAACTCCAGAGACCCATCAATCTCACTGTTCATTTTGGCCTGACATTCAGGGCAATCTTAAGAAATATTAAAACAATATATATTTTTTAAATGGATAAAGTAGAAAATAACTTGTTTCCTTCTTCTCTAAACATGGACAATCTACATTTCGACACAATATATTTTCAAACAAGATCTCAAAGAAAAAAAGGAGCTAGTTGAAACATTCATCATCAGCCAGAGTTGATGCCTCGGCAACCAACCAACTGATGTCATTCCTTGTATCAATATCAAAAGGTCTTTGATCAACAAAATGAATTGATAATGAACCTCTTCAATCTAAAGAGACATCCAGCTACATGAATGATTTGAATACTTTATCTGACTCCACATGTTATTATTAATTATGAGTATGGTTTAAAAAAAGTTATGAATGTAATACTACCTCAAAATCTACAATGGCTATATAACAATATTGTCAAGTAGAATATAATAAGGCAAAAATCTACAAACTAAATATTCAAATATATTCAAATCCTTAAGTAATACATAGCACATGAGTTCAATGACATTTAAGAGAGTAAATTGTTACTTAAAAAAAAAAGAAGAAGAAGAAAACAAAACACAAGCTGTATGTGTACGGTCTATAAAATATCATTGGTGTTCATTGCCTGTATGGTGATTGAAAGTACATTTGATTGGGATGGAACCCAGTCCTGTAATCTAAGGCTTCAATAGATACAATTGAATAGGTATTAGGTACATTACAATCAGTAAAGATATATTACACATCAGCCAAAACAGAAAAACAACTAAAGAAATCACAGAACATATAATGGCATGTGAAAACAAGGTTTCTGAAATTAATTCTCTGCTCCCCCAATTCTGTGTTGAACCTTCCTGAATTTGGCCATATACTTCGGTAACCCTTCGTGCATGAGCAGAACTGTGCTTTGGTATCCAGAATCGGATGAAATCAGATCAAAAAGGGAGAGATGTTCTTTCTGTTTGATAAATGCACATCAAATCAATGATTTGCTGTATTACCTCAAATAAAGTTAAATGAGCCTATACAGGGGTAATGGGGTTTAGGGAGCACAAAAACACTCAACCAAGTGCCATATCTTCTTATGACCTCATTTAAGTCACACTTTCTTATTTTAACAACACGTGGTTTGACAGTGCTTCTTTGCAGACACAGTTTTAGAGTCCCTCCACCTTTAAGGTTGAGGACGAGGAAACGAGACCTGGTGGAGAGCTAGCACGTCCCACATCACTTCAACAGGCTTTAGAGTCTACGGACGTACAGCTCCCCGGTCACCATGAGCTCCTATTTGAGCCATAGCTCAGCCCGTCTGATAAATACAACAATAAAGCACAAAAAGAAAAGCTAAACAAAAACAGATCGATAAAAAGAGAAAAGGCACCTCTGTTTTTTAGATTTAGGAGATTGATGACTTAAAAGTCTGGAGAGGACCCCATTCCTAATATCAACAACAAAGCAAATGGCACAATGTTAAAAAACCAACTAGACAATGGAGAAATTATGTAAAAATCAAAACTCGAGCCATACAAAACACATATCTTAGGTAAACAGAATAACACTGCTGAAATTATACTCTGGCTTGGGATGCATGGCCTCTATGGTGTTTAAAGCTGTGCTTTCAATGGTACACAGGTGTGTTTCTTACCCAGAACATTCATATGTCTCTGACCCTCATTTTAGTATCTAGTTTCACTAGAAGCCTTATTAAAAACAGAATACTGTACATGCTCTGACGTTTCGCCTAAATATTCCTTTTAAAATGTGTTGTGCCTTTCTGATTTCAATTCAAATTCAAGGGGCACGTTTGCAAATGTTTTTGTAAACCATTAACACAAGTCTATTAATTTAAAAACAGAACGAAGTGAATAAAACATTCTGTCTTGGTCTACCGACGTACCAACACTGTATTATGTAGGTTAGATGCAACAACAAATCGGTCCCAACCTCGTGTGTGTGCAAAAAATATATAAAATAATTTGAGTGCCATGGTTTTGTGTTTGAACACACAGGTGTACTGCTAATGTATTCAGCGTCTGTCTGTCAGCACAGATGGACAGACAGACACTCCTCTTCTCAGCTGGACGTTGACTTGGAGGACGAGGAGGTGTGTGTGTGTGTGTCATGGCATCAACAGAGCACACCGATGTTTGCATGCGTAACAAGACCAGCATTCCAGAGTGACTGAGAGATGATGCTCCTCCTGTCCATTGCTTGACATTCTGAACACTATATACATAAAGGCTGAACTCTTTAGGCTTGGATGGTGCCATCAACCATTCATTGGATCTGCAAAACAAGAGGCGAGGAATTACATTAAAGAAGTACGTTTTACATGTTATTTTAAAATGTAGCTAGCCTTCCAATATCTGGATCTTATCGTTGTTCTCTGAAAGGTTGCTTAAAGCTGCACTCTACAGTTCAAACAATAACAAAGCGGAGACCCCACCACTGTTTTGGTAAAGATCTGAGGGATGGGGCTGGAGAAATGTAACCACTCTCAAATTCATAGACATAGCTCAACGGGTATATATCATTAATTTAAATCGCAAAACGTATGTAGCTATTACAGATTGCCCCTTTAAATGTATAAGGATGTAGGAAATAAATGCTGCCATAATTTGGCTAGATGCACTCAGATATTCTTGGTGGTGCTGGAAGGTAAACATACTGTAAAGAAACAGAGATTAATAGAAACTCACTGTTCTTGACTACATTTGAGTCAGATACTTGTGGTTACTCAGATGATCGGCAGAAATTATTGGAATCTGTGGATGGAGACAGAGCAGAGAAATCAAAAACACATCTTATGCATATAATCGGATCCCCCCCCACCCTCTAAAACACATCACCATCTTATGCATATCATCAGACCCCCCCCCCCCCCCCCCTCAAAAACACATCAGCAGTTTTACGCAAATCTCAGAGTTCATTACCGAAATGGAGAATGTGGTTACAACGATGCCTAGATAAAACACCTGATGAGGTGGCTACCCATGCAAACTCAAGTCCTCCAATTTGTTGACCTCCTTTTAAAAAATAATGTTTGGGCGCTACAAAAATGACCTGCAGTTAGTTAAGGATTAACTCATTTTCCTTGGGGATAATAAAGTTGAATCTAATGTCTTTATCTTTTACAGCTTGTTGCACTCCCAGTCTAGGCAAACATATTTTTTATATATGACAATGTCTTCTTTCCCTTGTCCTATTTGACCACATACTGTATACTTCTACAACACAGACTACAATGTCTCCTCACTAAAGGGCTCTGGCGTGTAAGTAGCAGAAACATGTGGAATCCTCAGACACTGCAATAGCGTTGACTGCATGCGATACCCTACGTACGCAGCAGCAGGAGAACATAACCCAAGCGCCAAATGGCACAGATAGCAACTGCTGCCAGCACCTGCTGTGCGAAAAATAAGGAAAACTTCTTCATACATACCAATTGCATGTACTCATTGGTAGTCAACTTTGATAAGGAAGAGTCCTCAAAATGAGAAAGGACAAAAATCGAGGTTAAAACGATGTCAGACATTATAACGACATACAGTAAATGTCTCCCCAGAATGACAAGTTAATAATATCTTTAACTTGTATTTAATAAGTACATTAAAAGTTCACCATTAACATGAAAGATGTACTTTTCTAACAACCAGAGAGAGAGAGAGAGAGAAAGAGAGAGAGAGAGAGAGGAGAGAGAGAGGAGAGAGAGAGAGAGAGAGAGAGAGAGAGAGAGTAGAGGAGCAAACCTGATTGGCTGAGGCGGTTGCGAAGGGAACGCTTGTGGCAGATGTGGTGGCTGCAGATGCTGGCGTACCACCGTGCATCATTGGTACTTTTGTCAGAAGGGAAAATCATATAAGCAACAACACACAGAGGGGTGGAGTGTGGCCAATTGGCCACCAGGCAAATAAATGTGAAGGACAGGTGGTGTGGGGGGGGGGGGGGGGGGGGGCGCATTCCAATTCTATAACTCACTCCCTTTCCCTCTGAGAGGATTGGATAGGTGTAAGCAATAGGAAAACGACAACACTATAAGAAGGTTAGGGGAGGCAGTTACTATATTGCCTGAACACTTCCAGTCCTTTCTGACCAATCAATCTGATCTGAAGAGGAAAAGTACATGAGGGAGAAGAGAAGGGAGTGAGATATCTGATTGGAATGCAGCCATGGGTGTAAAATGTATAGGGGTTTCAGAGTGGTACATCTGCGGATGGCATAATGAGGTTATACCAGCCAAATGCTGAGGTTGTCAACAGAGAGGGCAGAGAAGGGCCAAGGGTCAAGCAATCACAGCTTAGGGTCCAAGGTGGATTTACAGTAACATGTTTGGTAGTACACCCGAAACAGAATAAAACCTCCATTAAAACATATCTCCAGTATTTAAATGTAGAGATATGACTAAATACAGTATCATTAACAAATGAAATGTGCAAATGATTCAGTTATATGCCACAACCAACCCTGTGACTCCCAAGTCACCAACACCCATGATGAGATAATTTGTGAACTGATGAAGTCTAAGGCTATAGGGTTCAAATGTATCAAAGGCTTTATACAGGGTTCAAATGTGTCAAAGGCTTTATACAGGGTTCAAATGTGTCAAAGCAAAGGCAGATCCAACTACATGTTGATATGATCATACTAATGATTATTGATTAATCATTATTTATTAAACTATTAGCTAGATACCAGATCTGTTTGTGCTGTCTTGATTAATCAATAATCATTGACTAGACAGCACAAACAGATTGGGAGTCATGCTAGAAAACTATCTGGGTTCGCTTCAGAAAGCCAAGGTGCCACCTTTTAGCTGTGTGATGGTTAGTTAGATTTTGATGGCGTGCGAGTCACTGGCGAGGCTGAAAGCTAATTGGTGGAGAAGGAATGCTGGAACCTACCAACACCGGCGGTGGGGGTCATGCAGAATATTGAGCCTGCCCAAATGCCCATCATGCAGTGCAACAGGAAGTGTGCAACAGGAAGTGGATTGGAAAAGGGGGGAGAGAAATCAAAATAGCCCATCACAAGTTTCATTAGAGTGAAGGAAGAGATCAGGAGAATAACATTAATTAATGAACTGGACAGCATTCAGTAACACAGTCAGTGGCCAGCAGTAGAAATACTGAGGAAAATGTGGAATTGGAATTGGATTTACTTTCTGAATTGACTGGAATTTGAATGTAATTGACCCCAACCCTGGAGCTGACCAATCTAGACCAAACTAGGCGATCAGGAGAATTAGGCTGAGAGTCTATACAGATCAGATCAGGCACTTTTGTCTGAGGTGTCATGGATATTAACGTGCAATCAACTGTGATAATAATAGTAGTAGCAATCAACAATCATTTAATAGTCCTAATCATAATAGTGACACATCACATACACACACGCTCAAGACAGAAACGAAAACGGGAAGCAGCTCAATATGGAAGCAGGACATATAGTATTAATATGAAAGCAGGACATATAGTATTAATATGGAAGAAGGACATATAGTATTAATATGGAAGCAGGACATATAGTATTAATATGGAAGCAGGACATATCGTATTAATATGGAAGCAGGCATATGTTATTAATATGGAAAGCAGGACCATATATTATAATATGAAGCAGGACAATTAGGGACATATATTTTAATAGGGAACGGAAAAATTTTTTTAAAAGCGGTTTAGTTTTTAATAGGGAAAGCGGGACAAGTATTAAAGGGAAGGCGGACTATATATTAATATGGGAGCATACAATTAATGGGGTTGTTTTAATGGGGAACGGGAAATTTTAATATGGGCCAGGACTATTTTTTATATGGAAGCGGACCACAGTATAAATGGTAGCAGGCCCTATCGTATTAAAAGGGAAGAAGACTTTAATTTTTAAATGGAAGAAGGAATCTTATAATAGGGTAGCAACTCATATGTTGCCAAACAAAAGCATTAGGTCAGAAAGAACAACCCAAACTTCCCTATGCCCTTCTCCACCGACCACTTTTCCACACAGCCCCCCCCAGCCCACTTCCCAGACAGTCCCCCTTTATCACATTCCACACAAAAGGGTCTCCACCCCCGCCCTTTCACCACAGTCCCACCCCCACTTCACACACATCTCCACCCCCCACTTCCCCAACCTTCTCCCCCCCCCCACACCCCCCCCCCTTTCCCCCTCCCCCCCCTTCCCCCCCCGCCTCCATTTTCCCCCCCCCTTTTCCCCCCCCTCCCTCCCCCCTCCCCCCCCCCCACCCCGTCTCCCCCCCCTCCCCCCCCTTCCCCCCCCTCCCCCCCACCCCCTCCCATACCCCCCAAACCAAAGCACCGGAGACCCGAACACCTGCCCAAATGACACACGTGGACCCCTTTAACATTGTTTTAACATTTTTTTGACTTTTTCCCTTCACTTTTTTAACTGATGCTGACTCTGGCTCACACTGAAAAGGGGGTTTTCCTCAATGGTTTTTGGGGGAAGGGTGAGGGTTCTATGTGGAACCAAATACTCAAGAACCATTTGAGCCCTTCATGGTTTTTTTTAGTGAAAATTAAAAGGTAGGGGAGCAGTCATTTAAAATATTTTGGGGTGGTTTGCTCACAAAGCTTTTTTTTGGGGCAACGAGGGGTATCTTTCCCCATTGATCTAATATTACCCTGTATTGTTCTTCAAAAGGTTTTTGTAGAACCTTTGAGATTGAAAAAGGTTCTTTACGGGCCCAATGCCCCCTTATTTGGCTCTAATAGAACTATTTTTTTTTTAAATTTTGTGCTTGAATGCCAAAAAGGTCTACTCGCTCTATTTTCTACGTTGAAAGAGACCAATAACGCCGGGCCCATGGGAGCCTACCGGGGGGGGAAAGGGCCCCTGAAACGCATGTTTGGCTGGGTTTTGGTACTGGGGGGGATGCCTTTTTGGAAACGGGAACCCTTCTTTCCCCGGGGGGGCCCCTTGGCATGGGGGGGGTTTTGGGGGCCCCCCACCCCGGGGGGGGGGAGGAAAGGGGAAAGGGGGGGGGGGGGGGGAGGGGTTGAAATTGGAGAATAAAAGAGGAGGGAAAAAAAATTTTTTTTTTTTTTTTTTTTTTCCCCCCCCCCCCCCTTTTTTTTTTTCCCCCCTCCCCCCCCCTTTTTTTCCCCCCCCCGGCCCCCCCCCTCTCGGGGGGCCCCCCCCCTCCCCTCCCTCTTTCCCTTCTTTTTTTCCCCCTTTTTTCCCCCCCGCCCCCCTTTTTTTCCCCCCCCCTTTTTTTTTTTTTTTTTTTCCCTTTCCCCCCCCCCCCCGGGGGGGTTGGGGGGAGGAAGGGGGGGAAAAAAAAAAAAAAAAAAAATTTAAGGTTTAATTAAAAAACAAGACACAACAAAAAAACCAACCTCAACCGGAAACCCCAAAACTCTAAAAAAAAAAGGTAAACCTAATAAAAAAAGTTTACCCCTTTAAAAAAAAAGTTTAAATAAACAGAAAAAAACCCCCCCCCCCCCCAAAAAAAAACCGGCCCTTTTAAAACCCCCCCCCTTTTTTTTTTTTTTTTCAAATGAAAAAAGAAGAAAAAGAAAACAAGAAAAAAAGATAAAAAAGAAAAAAAAAAAAAAAAAAAGGGCAGAAAAAAAAAAAGAAGAAAAGAAGAAAAAAGAAAAGGAAAATAAACAAAAAAACCCAAAAAAAGGTAAAAAGAAATAAAAAAAAAAAAAGAAAATAAAAAAAAACAAAAAAAAAAATAATCAAAGAAGAGAGGAAAAAAAAAAAAAAGAGGGAAGAAGAAAAAGGGAAAAAACCAAGTCGAAAGGGGGGAAAAAAAAAAAAAAAGATTTTATAGGGAAGAAAACCCTAAATAAAAAGGAAAAAAGAGAAAGAGAAACAAGAAAAGGGGGGGGGGAAAAAAAAAAAAAACCAAGAAAAACAAAACATTAAAAAATAAAAAAAGAAAAGAACCAACAGAGAAAAAATAAAAAGGAAAAAAAAAACCCAAAAAAAAAAAAAAAGGAGAGAAAAAAAGAAAGGGCAAAAAAAAAAAGAAACCAAAAAGGGGGGGGTTTCAAAGGCGGGGAAAAAAGAAAAAATAAAGGGGGGGGAAAATTTTTTAATTTTTTTTGGGGGGGGGTTTTTGGGGGGGGTTTTTCCCCCCCCCAAAAAGGGGGGTTTTGGGGGTTTTTTTTAAAAAAAAATTTAAATGGTTTTAGCCCCCCAAAAAAAAAAAAATTTTTTTTGGAAAGCTTTGGGGGGGGGGGGCCCCCCCCGGGCCCCGGGGGCCCCGCCCGGGGGGGGGGCCCCCCCAAAAAAGGGGGGGGTTTGGGGTGAAAAAAGGGGGTTTTTTCCCAAAAAAGGGGAAAAAAAAATTTTTGGGGGGAAAAAGGGGAAAACGGGGGGGCCCCCGGGGGGGGGGGGGAAAAAAGGGGGGGGGGAAAAAAAAAAGGGAAAAAAGGGGGGGGGGGGGGGGTTTTTTGGGGGAAAGGAAAAGAGAAAGAAAAAAAGAGAGAAAGGTGGGGGGAAAGGGAAAAAGAAAAAAAAAAAAAAGAGGGGAAAAAAAAGAGAGAAGAGAAAAAAAATTTTTTTCCCAAAAATTCTTTTTTTTTTTTTTTTTTGGGGGGGGTTTTTTTTCCCCTTTTTTATTTTAAAAAAGAAACCAAGGGGCCCCCCAAAATTTTCCCCCCCCCCCAAAAACCCCCCCTTTCCTTCCCCGTTTAAAACCCCCCTTTTTCCCCCCTTTCTTACCTTCCCCCTCCCCCCCCCCCCTTTTTTTTTCCCCCCCCCCCTCCCCTTTCCCCTTTCCCCTTTTTTTTTCCCCCTTTTTTGCCCCCCCCAAATTTAGGTTTTCCCCCCTTTTTTTCCCCCATGGGTTTCCTTGGGGGTTTTTAAAAAAAATTTTTTAAAAAAAATTTTTTGGGGGGGGGGGGGGAGACCGAACTTTAGATTTTTAAAAGGGGAGGGGCCAAAAAACCCCCAAAAAAAATAGCCGGGAAAAAGGGGGGCCCCCCCCTTCCCCGCCTTTATTTTTAAAAAACCCAAAAGGGGGCCTTTTTTCAAAATTCCCCCCCCGGGGGGGGGGCCGGGGGTTTTTAAAAAAAACCCAAAAAAAAAGGGGATAACCCTTTTTTTGGGGGGGGAAAAAAAAACCCCGCCCCCCTTTTTTTCCCCCCCTTTTTTTTTTTCTCCCTTTCCCCAAAAAAATTTTTAAAAAGTTAAGAAAATTTCCCTTAAAAAGGCCCCAAATTTTTTTAAAAAAAAAGGGGGTAGTTAAAACTTTTTAATAAAAATGCAAGGGCCTTTTGGATGGGGCCAAAGGGTTTAAAAGGGGAAAACCCCAGATTTTGGGGGGGTTTTTTAAAAAAAAAAAAAAGGTTTGGGGCCAAAAATTTAAAATTTTTTGGGGAAAAAAAAAAATTTAAAAAACAAAAACACAAAGGGGAAAGTGGGACCCGGAAAATTTTCAAACCCCTTTCACTTTACTTTTTAAACCCAAAATCTTTAAAAAAACAGGGGGCCCAAAAAAAAAAATTTGCCAAAAAACCAACAAAGAGGGGCCTTTTAAAATTGGTTAAAAAAACAAAAAAAAAAATTTAAAAAAAGGGCTTGGGAACCCACCAAACCAAAGGGGGGATAAATAAAAGGGGGAAAATTTTTTTTTTAAAAATTTACAACCCAAAAAATTTAAATTTAAAAGGAACCTTTTAAACCCAAATTTCCCCAAATGTTTTTTTTCCCGGCCAAAAATTTAAAAACCCCCCTTTTCTTTTTTTTTTATTCCCCTTTAAACCAAAAAAAAACCCAAATTTTGTTTGGTTGTTTTAAAAAAAAAACCCCCCCAAATTTTTGGGGGGGTTTTTTTTAAAGGGCCCTTTTTTAAAAAGGGCCTTTGGGGAAAAAACCCTTTTTTTTTTAAAAACACGGGCATTGAGTGATATGGTCACACTTTAACCAAACTACGACTGATGATGCCTTCATAAAACCCTTTTTAAGGCCTACAAAAATGGCACAAAGCATTTATGAGCAAATGTCATACTTTATGAAGGGTAGTATTGGATTTATACCACATCAGATGTAAGGACCTGTTATATCACCTTTATAGTGTGACGTTTGCTTATAAATTATTATAAAGCATCTATGTAGGCCTTAGATTTACATTTACATTTTTAAAGGGTTTATGAAGCCTTTATGAAGCCTTTATTAAGCAAAATGAGCTACAGTTTGTTTAAAGTGTGACCCGTGGGGTCATTAAATGATAAAATAGCAATACACTCTTTCACTGTTACACATCATAGTCATTGTCACAATACAATGATTATACACCACAACGTTTGTTATTGTTCTTCATACAAACAAAGCATGGCAAATACTAAGAACAAGACACAAGTGTAACAGTGCTAGTTTAGCTAGAGAGGAAGGACCATTGTTATATTAGAGTTGGCCTGCAGTCAGATAAGCACACTGAATACATTGAATATCAACAGGAAGCTGTGTAGGGGAAGCACCCACTGGAGACAGAAGATGTAGTTACAGATACAATCAGTCAGTCCAGGTAAACTTCTGTTATTTTATCAGTTAATGCCACCAGCCAGAAGGGACATATAGTATAATAGAGAAGTTACCCGCAGACACAGATCTAGGATCAGCTTACCCTCCCCAATCCTAACCATAACCACTAGGATGACAAAACACCAAACTGGCCTTAGATCCGTGTCTAGGGGCAGCTTCATCCTACTGAGTGTGTTTTCCTACTTCCCACTATGCGACTGTTACCGAGAGGATCCAAGATGGCAGATGACTTACCATGGCTGCAGCGGCGGTGGCCTGGTTGACCTGGTGTTGGGCGGCCTTGATCTTGGCCTGCAGGTGGGCTGGAGGGTGGAAATACTTGCACTTCTCCCTGGAGCAGCGGCCCTTGATGTAGTCCATACACACAGTGACTGTGTTGTCGTTGGTGTCTATCATGGTGCTGTCGGAGGGGTGGGAGAAGCGACAGTCGTTCTCCCCCCGGGAGCAGTTACCCCGCTGGTACTCACGACACACCTGGTGAGGGGAGAGAGGTATGAACATAATGGATCATTCAATACACTCAGTTCCACTTTACTTTAACCTTCTGTCACAAGTGCTACATAACACTGTCATAATCATGACATATCAGTTGCCATAAACCAGGGGTGTCAAACTCAGTTACACAGACATGCACAGAGCAGACGTTGAGCAGACGTTGAGCAGACGTTGAGCAGTTATTGAGCAGGGTCATTGTGTGTTGGACATGGCATTTGTAGGGCAGCAGAGGGCAGTATTTGTATGGCAGCAGAGGGTAGCAGAGGGCAGCAGAGGGCAGCAGAGGGCAGCATTTGTAGGGCAGCAGAGGGCAGCAGAGGGCAGCATTTGTAGGGCAGCAGAGGGTAGCAGAGGGCAGCAGAGGGCAGCAGAGGGCAGCATTTGTAGGGCAGCAGAGGGCAGCAGAGGGCAGCAGAGGGCAGCATTTGTAGGGCAGCAGAGGGTGGCAGAGGGCAGCAGAGGGCAGCATTTGTAGGGCAGCAGAGGGTGGCAGAGGGCAGCAGAGGGCAGCATTTGTAGGGCAGCAGACGGCGGCAGAGGGCAGCGGCTTTATGTTAACACAGCATGTTGTGTTCTTGGGTCAGTACAGGGTTTCTGTGCTGCTGTGGCTGCTGGAGCAGGGTGTGCGCGTGTGTGTCTGTCTGTCTGGCCGTCCATCTGTATCTCTCACCTCCAGTCTGTCTGTCCTCATGAGTTTCTGTGCAGCTGTGGCTGCAGCGTTGGGGACCTGTCCATGGTTGGGGTGGCCCGCCATGAGGACCTGAGGGCTGGGCATGATCTCTTGCTGCATCAGGCCGGGTGACACCGGGCTCAGGTACGGGTTAAAGGCCGCTGCGCTGGCATTGGTGGCCAGGCCTGGCGCCATGGAGAACATAGGCTGCTGGAGGGGGAGGGGGGCAGAGAGAGACAAGGGTCAAAGGTGAGAAGTTATACTTCCTGGTAGGTAAAATATTAAATGTACAGTGTTCAACGTTATGTGGCTTATCTTACCTGACACCCTATTCCCTATATAGTGCATTGCTTAAGGGCTCTGAATGCTCAGAAGTAGTGCACTATATAGGGAATAGGGTGTCATTTAAGACGCACCCGACAGTAAGTGTTGTCATGCAATGCGGTGCTGCCAGATAATTACCTGATGATGTAAGCTGAACCTGTTGCTGTCTTGGACCAGGTCATAGAGATTAACCTGGATTGGTAAAGGTTGAAGAAAATGAAGACGTGTTTCAGGTCCTGCCATTCAGTCACAGTTCAGTTCTATTCTACTCCACTCACGTGTGTGTGTGTGTGTGTGTGTGTGTGTGTGTGTGTGTAAGACATACATGTACTGTACATGAGTGTGTGTTGTCTCACCATAGGCTGAAGCTGTGTGCCGGGCATCATGGCGTTGGCGAGCTGCATCTGCTGGGCCAGCATGGCCATGTTCTTCTGTTGGATCAGATTGTTCCTACCGTTGATCTCCAGCTGGGTCTTCAGGTGGCCAGGAGGATGGAGGTACTTACAGTTCTCCCTGGAACAACGGCCCTGAGGAGGAGGGAGGGAGGGAGGGAGGGAGGGGGAGGGAGGGAGGGAGGGAAAGACAGAAAGAGAGTATAGTAGGTTAAAGTTGACTCAGATTCAGACAGCACTGGCATTAACTTGACAGTAAAACATGTACCACAACAACAGACAGAAGATAGATACCCATAATTCCATGGTATCATTTAATTCCATATTTATACAACATGTATAATCTGCAGTATGAGATAATGTCCTGAGGTGACCTGGTGATTTGTTATGGTTCCCTCTGCTAGTAAACATCCCAGACATGCCCTGTAAAACACACACACACACACACACACACACACACACACACACACAGTCAGCTGACAACTGTGTGTGTGTGTGTGTGTGTGTGTGTGTGTGTGTGTGTGTGTGTGTGTGTGTGTGTGTGTGTGTGTGTGTGTGTGTGTGCGTGCGTGCGTGTGAGTGTGTGTGTGGGGCTGTTTTATAGCTGCATGCCCCTAAGCCTGGTTCACTCTAGGTCTGGGCTAAGCCTGGTTCATCCTAAGTCTGGGCTAAGCCTGGTTCACCCTAGGTCTGGGCTAATCCTGGTTCATCCTAGGTCTGAGCTAACCCTGGTTCACCCTAGGTCTGAGCTAACCCTGGTTCACCCTAGGTCTGGGCTAAGCCTGGTTCATCCTAAGTCTGGGCTAAGCCTGGTTCACCCTAGGTCTGGGCTAATCCTGGTTCATCCTAGGTCTGAGCTAACCCTGGTTCACCCTAGGTCTGGGCTAATCCTGGTTCATCCTAGGTCTGAGCTAACCCTGGTTCACCCTAGGTCTGAGCTAACCCTGGTTCACCCTAGGTCTGGGCTAAGCCTGGTTCATCCTAAGTCTGGGCTAAGCCTGGTTCACCCTAGGTCTGAGCTAACCCTGGTTCACCCTAGGTCTGAGCTAACCCTGGTTCACCCTAGGTCTGGGCTAATCCTGGTTCATCCTAGGTCTGGGCTAAGCCTGGTTCACCCTAGGTCTGGGCTAAGCCTGGTTCACCCTAGGTCTGGCCTAAGCCTGGCACTTGCTAATTGTTAAGGGCTCTCTATTTCTGCTCTGCCCTGTGGGAGAAAAATGTGTGTCTGTGTGTCTGCGTCTGTGTGTGTGTGAGTGTTTTCATGGATATGTGCGTGTGTGTGTGTCTTCGTGCATTTGTGCGTGTGTGTGTGTCTGCATAAATGTGTGTGTTCAGTTCAGAAGAGGGTCTCTGTGGGACCGCTACCCAGACATCCAACTAGGCTTCCTGTCTGACAGGAGATATACATACAACCCATTCATATAATACAGATATTTCCAGCAGGGCTTCCTGTCTGACAGGAGATATACATACAACCCATTCATATAATACAGAGATATCCAGCAGGGCTTCCTGTCTGACAGGAGATATACATACAACCCATTCATATGATACAGAGATATCCAGCAGGGCTTCCTGTCTGACAGGAGATATACATACAACCCATTCATATAATACAGATATTTCCAGCAGGGCTTCCTGTCTGACAGGAGATATACATACAACCCATTCATATAATACAGATATTTCCAGCAGGGCTTCCTGTCTGACAGGAGATATACATACAACCCATTCATATGATACAGAGATATGACATCACAATATGAAGTGAAACTTAAAAAGACTCGTGGAGATGATGAACTAAGAGTGACGGTCTATGCTGTCAATACACAACGCCAAGAAGGAAGGGTACAGTACAGAAATCCTGGAGGAGTGGGGTCAGGATACTTCAAGTGTGACACACACACACACAGACACACACAGACACACAACACACAGACACACAACACACACACACACACACACACACACACACACACACACACACACACACACACACACACACACACACACACACACAGACACAACACACACACACACCACACACACACACACAGACACACAGACACACAGACACACAGACACAGATACACAGACACACAGACACACAGACACAGACACACAGACACAGACACACACACACCATACACACCACATACACACACACTGGAGTCATGATCATGTAACAGGTGCCAGACACACATAGGCCTGTTCTTTACAACAGATATTTATTTACATTTATATTTATTTACATATATGTATTTATTCCATGGCCACAGCTGAGCCGACCGGCCAAGGCAGCAGGATCCACGCTCAATCACACATAGAGCTGTGTCTGTCTGCCCTGCCGCCTGGGTGCATCTCAATACGTGACCTTAGAATTGTAAGGTTCTATCTACAAAAAGTTGATTCTAAGATGGTTGGCTTTAAAGTTGCAAACCCTCAATGGTTTGAATGATGTGAGTATTTTATTTTATTTTAAATCTTGTTTTCTTTTTAACTTAACAACATGATTTGGGGTATTTATAGTTGTATATAGGCAGAGAATATGGTACAGAATATATGTCCGTAACTCAATTTTTACCGAAATGCAGCTATAACGTTGTAATTCCAAGCTCTCCATTGGTCTAACATGGTTAGCTCTCTTTTTGTTCTGTCCTTCATTCGCACTGACATGAAAGACTGGGACAGGTGAAAGGAAGCGAGTTCCTGGTGATCACTCTCCATATTGCGTTCATCCTGTGTTTTCAGGTCGGTGCAGAGTAAGGAAAGGAGATGAGGAGAGGAAACCACGTCTGACAATTGGATTGCACCCTCAGAAGTTTCCCCACTCAGATACAGGCAGGAAGAAGTGTACACATGTCAAATTTGCAGTTTCACATGTGAAATCGCATTTACACATATGAAATCTGTTTTCAAATGTTGAGCTTAAATTTCACATGTGAAACCATATTTCACATGTATTAAACTTATAGTTCACATGTTAGCACCCCCTTTTCACATGTGAGAAGAAAAAAACATGTTTTCACCTCACGTGAATTGCAGTTGCATATGTGAAATTGCAGTTTCACATGTTAAAAACATTATAATGTGAAAATCTCACTTTCACATGTGGAATTGCAAGTTCACATGTGAAAATCAATCACATATGAAAATCAATCACATGTGAAAATCTTATTTGCAGTTTCACATGTAAGAAAACTCCACATGTGGAATTACAAGTTCACATCTGATGGTGAAATAATGTTATTCTCCTCACATGTGAAAAGGTGTTGTTAACATGTTGCAGTAGCAATGGTTCCACATATGGAATTGCAAATTCTGTAATGCCATTATGTAAAAAGGTAACTTAGTCTATCTGTGTATAACAATTCAAGTGCGTTTAAAATAATTATGTATTATTTCTGAGCCATCCGTTCGGAGTGTTACTGCTGCAGGCTCACGCCTCTCTTCTTCATTCGTTGGTAAGTGACCGTTGGAAGAAGCCCAGTGAAAAGAACAGAGAAGCTAGCGCTCTGGGTCTCCTTATGAATCCTGTTTAACATGTTAAAATGTGCGCCTGTCAGAGTTAATCAGTTAACTCCAGTTAACTTTTTGTAATTTTAGTGCACACATTTTTTTTGTGCATTGTCTGAAAACATCCAAAATACACTGAAAACATCCTAAATACACTGAAAACATCCAAAATACATAATCTATAAAGCTAAAAACAACAACGCGATGTCAAAACAAGTTGCCTTTGAGTTGAAAGAAAGTGTGTTGATCAATTTACCAGATTTTGCTAACAGTTACTTTGGACAAAATTAAGATGTTAATATTCTTGTAATGCTTTTTGTGTAAAAATCTTAAATTACAGCTCAATTTGAGCAAATTAGGAATTTGAATCATTTGACAGCCTTAGTTGACCTTAAAACACGAAAAAGCACACCGGAAGGTACAGAGGAAATGAGTCGGTCATGATTGTTCATGGTCACATGATGAGGTAGCCCCGCCCTATTGGTCGAATGGTCAAGACGTTGGCTTCACCCTTGCGAGACCTGGGTTCTAATACCACGTGTCTGAGTCATGTGAAAAATGTACGTGAAAAATCCATGTGTTAACTTCACACGTCTGTTTTTCACGTGATTTGTTCACACGTGTTTTTTTCCCTGTGTTCTTTTCACGTGGAGACGTTATGCTCATGGTGTGTTTGTGTGGTGTGTGTGTTGGGTGTGTGTTTGTTGGTTGTGTGTTTGGTGGTTGGTGTGGTGTGTGTGGTGTTGTGTTGTGTGTTTGGTGTGTTTGTTTGTTTGTGTGTGTGTGTTGTGTGTTTTGGTGGTTTGTTGTGTGTTTGTGTGTTTGTGTTGTGGTGTGTTGTTGCTGGTGTGTGTGTGTTGTGTGTTGTGTGTGTTGTGTGTTGTTGTTGTGTGTTTTTGTGTTGTTTGTGTGTGTTTGGTTGTGTGTTTTTGTGGTGGGTTTTTTGTTGTGTGTGTGTTGGTGTGTTGTTTTGTTTTTTTTTTTTTTTTGTGTTTTTTTTGTTTTTTTGTGTTTTGTTGGTTTTTGTGTTGTGTTTGTTTGTGTTTTGTTTTGTGTGTTGTTGGTTGTTGTGTTGTGTTGTTTGTTTTTTTTTGTTTTTGTTTGTTTTGTTTTTTTGTGTTTGTGTTTTTTTTTTGTTTTTGTTTTTTTTTTTTGTTTTGTTTTGTTTTGTTTTTGTTTTGTGTGTTGTTTGTTTGTTTTTTTTTTTTTTGTTTTGTTTTTTTTTTTTTTTGTTTTTTTTGTTTTTTTGTTTTGTTGTTTTGGTTTTTTTTTTGTGTTGTTTTTTTTGTTTTTTTGTTTGTTTTTTTTTTTTTTTTTGGTTTTTGTTTTTTTTTTTTTGTTTTTTTTGTTTTTTTGTTGGTGTTGTTTTTTTTTTTTTTGTTTTTTGGTTTTTTTGTGTTTTTGTTTGTTTTTTTTTTCTTTTTTTTTATTTTTTTTTTTTTTTTTTTTTATTTTTTTTTTTTGTTTTTTTTTTTGTTTTTTTTTTTTTTTTTTTTTTTTTTTTTTTTTTTTTTTTTTTGTTTTTTTTTTTTTTTTTTTTTTTTTTTTTTTTTTTTTTTTTTTTTTTTTTTTTTTTTTTTTTTTTTTTTTTTTTTGGGGGTTTTTTTGTTGTTTTTTTT